CATAATCAGCTTATATAGATCTAACTGTCATGAAAATTACTAGCAACTACGTTACTATGAAGTTTTATAGTCTAATTGAAACTATTATATCAGCTCTAACTGTCAATAAAACTGACACTATAGTAATGTAATCAACGAAAATAATATTATTGACATAGATCTAATGATCATAAACAGCCTACCTGTTCTGAAACTGCTAAAATGATGAAGTTCTTATCAAAAACTTAAATAGAGCTAATAAAATTCCCTCCTGATGCATAGATATCATTCTTTCAGACAGATCAGTCAAGTTTCAATAGAGATCCGCGAGCGTTCCGCGTTGATCCGCATTTCAGCCCGATCCGCATTTGATCCGCGTGGATCCGTATTTCAGGCAGGCCCCTTTTTTAGGGACGACCGACACGATTTGCAGCGCTATTAGTCCGGCAATGGCGATCACGTGATTAAATTAGGTGTGGCTATGTGGGTGTTAATAAATTAATCGTGAATATTAAATAGAAAACAATAAGTAAGTTGAATCAAACATAATGATTTTGTCATTAGTCAAAAGAAATAACTGAGTAGAAAGAGGTGAGTGTCAAAATAAAAAGACAAGTACATAAACAATGAGGATAATACATGTACTTAGACTTCATTGTCTTTATTTACATGACATTCAGGGGCGTATCTAGAACTTGGAGAAGAGGGTCGTCCCTAAAAAACGGACCGGACCGGACCAACGGACCATGGTCGGCGACAAATCTGTTTGGTAGGGTCTCAAAAGCGGACGGACGGACGGACCCGCCCCGCCCGAAAAGGACGGACGGACGGACTGATGCGGACCCGACAGGACCATAAATATTCATGTAAAGGACAATCATTCATGGATAGTCTGTCTTTAAAACACTTCTATACTTGGACAATAAATTTATGTACGTATTAACTATGCTACGACCAATAGAAGAGGTCATGTTAGTGAAAATTTAACTTTATCAATGCAAAATTGCTACTACAGGCTGCATGAAGCATCACAATACTGAACCATCACTTGAATTCTATTTGTTATTCTTAATAGGAGTTCAGTGACACCATTTTAATGATTTTTCTATATTATTTGGTGTAAGTCTAATAATAAACATAGTGAAATTTTATGATTAATTTTTATCAGCTATTGCATGCAACACTATACTGAGATACTGATTTCATTTAATTACACAATTAAAATAATGATAGTTCAATATCCTTGAAATCACTGCTCTTTAAAGATAAGGAGACCCTTTGAAATAGTTATATTGAGCTTTAGAATCCAGCCTAAAAAGTAGTTATCCTACGTAATAAATGTAAAAATTATAGTTACTTCTAGTATATTTATTTTTGTCATAGCTACCTGGGCTAGGAATGCCACACTTTTTTGCAGATCCCTTTTCAATGCTTGTAAATTATTGTAAAGAGTTGCTTAGCACTAAGCAACTCTGGTTGCAACGCTAATAGTTATTGTTTTCCACCTATATAAAAATGATATTCCATTTCAATAGCAAATTGTACCTGAAACTGGGAAGCATGAGAGTCATAAGCCATTGCCTCAAAAATTTTGAAATTATGTAATAAACAATGTTATGACAGAGCATAACCACTACAATAGAATTTATACTTGGACAACATATCGGAACACTCCATCACAACACAGTATGATGTATAGGCAAAGTAAAAGTCAATTAATTTTAACAATAACATATTAGATATGCATAATTTGCACAGATAAGCATGACAGTCAATGGAACTGTCTTGTTTGGGTAAAAACTGTTGCAATAATAAACTAAAATTTGTAAGTTTGTACATACCACTTCATAGTATGTTTGTATAGTTTGAAAAGTTAAACTTCTGTGTGTGCACCCCTACCTTTTTTCTCAAATATATTGACAGCACACTATTCAGTTTGAACAACAAAACATTAATTCAAATAAAATTTTGATTCATACCAGCACTTGCTTGTTTTGTCACAGTAAAATATTTTTCAATAGAATCAAAATTAAAAAATTGATTTATGAGGCTTAATAACCTATACAAATCCGCTATTAACATTGTAGACATTTAATTTTTAAAAGAACTTACAATTAAAATCTAGTGGCTTCTGACATGACAAGGCATTATATACAATAGATTCAAGTTCACTTACATCATATATAATCCTAATTTTATAGTGTTAAAACATAGATATTATACGTACAGCTGTGATGAAATAACTTACATAAAAGTATCAGTCAACAGTCTCATCAGGTTGATTTGCAACCAATTTACTAAAGATTGCTGTTAGTAACACACAAAACATAATTATTGCTCTAAAAAATTGCAGCTTTTATTTAATAATACTCATCCTATATAGTCTACATTGTATTCCTGCTTATATTCACTGTAAATGGTAATTCCTCTTTGAATATATTGATTGAAGATATAGACTTGCACCAAATAATATTAAAAAATCATTAAAATGGTGTCACTGAACTCCTATTAAGAATAACAAATAGAATCCAAGTGATGGTTCAGTATTGTGATGCTTCATGCAGCCTGTAGTAGCAATTTTGCATTGATAAAGTTAAATTTTCACTAACATGACCTCTTCTATTGGTCGTAGCATAGTTAATACGTACATAAATTTATTGTCCAAGTATAGAAGTGTTTTAAAGACAGACTATCCATGAATGATTGTCCTTTACATGAATATTTATGGTCCTGTCGGGTCCGCATCAGTCCGTCCGTCCGTCCTTTTCGGGCGGGGCGGGTCCGTCCGTCCGTCCGCTTTTGAGACCCTACCATCTGTTTTACGGACCCAAATGGTCCGCGACATCTCTATTTTGCGGACCACTTTGCTCACAGTATACCGGTAATCTTACAGATGCTAAAAATTATAGCTAATGCTTAGGTCAAGATTTACTCTTGCTGAAATCCTGCTTCTCGGTTAGATATAAGCCCAAACCTTCAGATATTGTGAATTTAACAAATTTATTCATGAAGCAACTGTATACAGCCTGAGCCTGGTACTGAGTACTGAACTTGGATGTTGTGCAGTGACTAGTCTACAAATGGTTTAAATATCTCTTACTTATTTGTGTCACTGTACAGCTTGGTATGGCAAGCAAATCTTGTTCTGAATTCAGTGGAAAAACGGTTACAAATTAGATATGTAATAATAATTGCAACTT